ATCGACTGCAATACTGACAATGAGCAACACAACGATCTAAGAGGATGTCCAGCGATGTTGAATACCACCATGAACGTGCTAACGAGATCTGGACGTAACCTAAGGCAAGCAGTCCAGAAGATCCGGGAGTTAACATCACCTAGAACCGATTCATAAAATACGATTCCAAGAAGACTCATTGCCACCGCGTGCTAATTAAACTGAGAGCAATAAAACACCAGATATTGTATTTAAAATGATGAGAACATTCCAGACCGGTTTTCCGTTTGCTCTTGACGTCATATGCAGAAATAGTAAGTTCTTGCATCGAGAGGAATGGGGAGGGGGGTAACGGCAGTCTGCCAGATCGTCAAAAGGGATAATGGAGCATCCGATCGTGAAAATCATTGATCTAATAGAGCAATTGAGTGATGTCGCGGCGCAGACAAAAGTTGTCATCCTGCGAAAGCATTTAAAGCAAGAATTTCTCTGAAGAGGTGTTACAAGGGTTCATAAACTGCAACGAAATGCTCAATGATCAAAGCGTCACATCGCCACGAGCAATGTCTGCTCATTAATGACTTGAGAATTTTTGCAAAAAGAATTTTACAAATTTTTAACGAATAATTCTCATCGAAACACAACACTCGTTCATTTAAATGTAACGCACAATAAGATGAAAATTTGAGAAGATCGGTTACAATGACAAGTAAGACTAGAATTGCTTAGTTATGGATATAATCTCTTCAAGTAACGATCCTGATAACGAGCTGAGTTCAAGATTTGCCATGCATCCGTTTCCATGGTATTTTCAGGTAGAGAAACCTCAAAAAAAAAAATAATCAGAGTTCATATAGCACACTAACCTGAGACAAGCTCTACGACTGCTGGAAAAGTATCTGCGTATAGCCGCAATTATCAGTTTGATTTTCAAGGCATACATGCTAACATAACTTGCGATGTTTTTTTTTCGGCACTGCTGTAGAATATGTGCAAGAATTCAGGGCATTGAGCATTAGATATGTGAAGGCGGTGTAATATACGCGAAGCTTTAAATGAATCATGTGAATCGATCACATGAAGTTGTTATCGGTCATTGGAAAATTATTAGATTCGCTGAGAAATGAGATAAGCTTATACCAGAAAACGAGCTCATGGCACAAAAACGATCTGACTTTATGTTCCGGTGAGTTTTCTCGCAAAACGCCTTCAGAAAGACTTCGTAGAATTGTGGTCTTCTCTGACACTATTGCACAGAGACGATGTTCATCAGACAACCAAAAAATTCAATGTCCTTATCGAATGTGTTGGTTTTGCAAAGAAATTGGAAGTTTCTTGTCGTCTCACATTGGAAGTTTCTTGCCTGTCTGGTTGATCCAATGCTCTCATAGTCGGAAGGAATCTTTTTAGAAATTCAATTAATTTTTCATCAACGTCTTAATTTCTAAAAACCAACTCGATATTTTCCCTCATATGCACTGAGGAAATTCACATTTTCAAATTCGCATTTCGCCTTGCACACGTATGAACAGAATTTCTTCTTTGCAATAGTGCAGATGAATTTTTTTCTCGATCAAACCACCAACAAAATACAACGGAAAAATTCAGTGTTTTCATGGAATGTGTTAGTTTTGCAATGAAACGAACATTCATTTGGATGTTCGTGCCATACATAATTCTTAAAACGATAACAACGGCATCGATGCAGTTAAGGGCAAATAGACGTTCCTTTAAAGCACACACAACAATCGCAAATGAGCAGTCATGCAATACTTCAATTGATAAACATTACATCACATGCATTTATTTATTTGCATGTGTCTGAATTGGAATCCAGTCGAATTATCATCACATGCTTTCGTTCTTTTTGTTTTCATTCATGATCAACACCTCATGATGCCTAACTTCTGGTAGCTCCAACTATGACATGGTACCCAATTGCTTGGCTCTACCAATCTGAGTTTAATGCAACTTTAGAACATTGTCGAAATTAGATAGTTCATAAGACAGCAATATTTTTCTAGTACAGACCATTTTTTGATAAACACTGGTAAAAAAAGGAATTTTGTATTGATCAATGAAGTGATCAAATTGAAAATTGATTAATTCAACTGAGAATTGATCAGTATTCATGAATTCCTCGAAGGCATGGGCAAGTTTCAATTAGTTTGTGATGCAAATGAACTGGGATCGCTTCTTTTCACTGAAATCCACTCGTATTTAATTCGATCCGGTCAACCGAAACTCTGCTTCAGCATGCAATGAATTCAGGAAGAATTGAAACTATTCTCGAATTTGTTTTGCGAAAGAACACGGAAAATTTAATTTGATATTCTATTCAGGAATGACAATATCATATCATCTTGATGTCTCATCCGCATCGTTGTTCTCCTTTCTTCGGCTTCTGTTCCGATGGAAAGCGAGCGTGTGGAAATTGGTTCTAAAGGAGTTGATCATCTGGACAATACTCTATCTGATCGTTTCCTTCTTCTACCGAACCAGCTACTTCATGACCCCTGAGCAGAAAGTGTTCGTTGCTCATCTTTGCTTCCTTTGAATTTTTCCTGAAACTCATCTTTTGACTGCTCACTATCGAAATTGAATTTGATTATTCATATTTTCGGTGCCTCGTTCAATTACTCCACCATATCCACTAGTTGAATAGACTCACTATGATCTACAATGGTCAACTGAGAGGATTTCGCTTGCAGACAGAATAATCGCTGTGCTTCTTGATTTCAATCAAGAACGCCAATCAGCAATTCGATCATTAACATGCTTTTGCGTAATCATTTTGAAATTCAAACGTTAAAAGTGATCCATTCTAAGAATTTATCAATAAGCCATCACAAGCTAATGACTACCACCAAAGCACATAAGTGACTTCAATATTCCAAAATACAATTTATTCGATCATTCTAAGAACGACGTTCGTCCCAATTATCCAAATACGACAAACTGTTCAGTATGATGTTTAGTTTTGCAGAACATTCGAACGAGTTGCTCACTACTGCGATAATCTTTTGGATTACATACCGTTGACATTCGTTCTCGGATTTTTTGTTAACACAATTATTGTGCGTTGGTCTGATTTGCTGTACAATATGGGTTATGTTGAAAGGTTAATCATCACGAAACAATCATACAACATCTACATAAATATCACCGTACATTCTACCGAAACTCGTGCCAAATTCCTCCTCTATTCAGTGTTCTCATGCAAACAAGAATCACAGACGCGATCATTTACTTCAATTAATATTTCATTTGGAAGACAACAAAATTTATCGACGAATCCAAGAAATGCATATGAAATATGAAGTGGAAACGAACCGAAATTTCAGTCAGTCAATTTTTGTCGGAAATTACATACGAGGAGATGATATCGAGACTCGGTTGCTGCGACGAACTATTGTGCGGTATATGTGCTTGACACAAGCTTTAGTGTTCCGAGACATCAGTGTTCCGGTGCGGAGACGTTTTCCAACGATCAATTGTCTTATCCAAGCAGGTTATCTGCCGTTTGCTGTTCAATTGCTCATCAGTTTTATCAGTTAGCAATCAGACACATGAGAACTGTCAAATAAAATTTCAAGGCCTACTTCTGCGAGAAGAAAAAGAAAAACTGGATGCCATAAAGGTGGAATACGATAAGTACTGGGCACCAACAAACTGGATTTATGCGTTGATATTTCGGGCGAGGAAAGCCGGCAAAATAACACATGATATAATGGCCAGTAAACTGTGTGATGTAAGTTGAGCCAGAGTTAATCAACTCTCTGTCCATACTTTTAAACGAAACTCGATCATGAAAGATTTAATAGATTACAGGAAATCAAATATTTCCGATATAATCTTCAAATGGTATGCAACTACGACTGGGTCCCGCTGCCACTTGTTTATCCACAGGTAAACTGTTGCTGATCAGCTTCACTCGATCCGATTAATACTGATGGGAAACGATTTTGCTGAACGAATTTGCTAAAGAATGTGGGAGTGAATGATCACATTTCACTGTTGATGAACGACGACACATGGACAGGATTTGCAGTAGTGATGCTCATAAGCATGCGATAGCAAACAGCGATAACAATACGAGCAAGCCTCTAATAATCGTATAATCCAAGCACTTTCTAGAAACCAAAACGATGCTATTCGTGATCAAAATTGCCAATTCTAATAACAATTTCAGACGGTTTTCTTAGCAACATACGCGTACTTCGCAACGTGCCTCATTGGTCGACAAAAGATAATCACCGATCGTAAAGTACCTTACAAACATAACGTATGTAACAACTTGTTCATTTCATTGCTAGCTGATGCATACGAGTTGTGATATCTTCAATCTTCAATGAATATCGTCTTCAATGAATCTTGCACTATGCTTATTGATTGATAAAATCAGTCAATTAATATGCTGGATTGTTTATGACTTTCTCTATTCGTACAATCTTTTCATCTCGCAATTTTACGACAGTTGGACATGATTCTACCAGTGATGACGATGATACAATTCTTTTTTGTCATCGGATGGGTGAAAGTCGCTCAAGGGCTACTGAATCCGTTCGGAACGGACGACGACGATTTCGAATGCAATTATTTGATTGATAAAAATCTCGCGGTATCTTTTCAAATGTCACTCTTATTTCACAATGTTCATGGAGGAGATAAGATTGAGCCGAATCCATTCGATTTGATCATTGAAAGTTTTTTGATCACATAAAATTTTAGCCATAAGAAGACGTATCTAAAGATTTAATCAATGAAAATCAATACTAATTGTTAGTGTCGATGGTTTATGCAAATATCAATGAACTTTGCTTGAATTCCAAACCATCATCCGCATAGATTTGCAAGTAGATGAAGCGAATTCATTTTAAGACAAGTTTATGCATCGTCGATGATGAATATGACAGTGCTCCGGAAATTCGAGCAGATAAGTTCTGGAAGAGAGGTCGAATCGAACCGCTGTATTCGTCAATTTCCGCTTCTGAACCTGTAAATCCACTGATCGGCTCGGCTATTAATGCCAAGTATGTCCGATTGAAGTGCCCTCTTCACTCATTTGTTTTTAGACACTCAAATCTTTGGAACATTAATGCCAACTTTACAAATCTTTTTGCTTATGTTTCGCAATCAATCAAAGCACTGCTGTGCTGAAAGCTTATTGCGGAATTAATATTGTGCAACAATGACTCGAAAACCTTCAAAACGGTCACTCAGTAACAGTGAAATGTTACATTTGCTTTGCTGATATTTCATTCTCCGAATGCACTTATGAAATGTCAAATTTAGACTTGATATTAAAGAGGGCAACGAGGTGATGATGAAGCGTTTACCAGAACGTCGTAATGCGATTGATTTGGGCAGAAAACGGAGGGCCAACTCGAGAATTTCGATTAATTTAGGTTCACTGTCAAGAAGACGTTTATCGCATAGGTGAGATTCGAGTTTCTCATCATATTTTTTTTGGAAGAAATATTCAATTTGAAATTGTAAAATGATCGCCAGGGAGAGAAATAACTGAAATATACCCTCAATCGAACTGGTCGATGCATCGTGCCGACTGCAACGGTGTTGTTATCTTCTTAGGCGTTGTTGTGTCCTTGTGCGATGATAATGATCAGTTGAAGATGTTCATTGAGATAAGAGAATTGACAACAGGAATTCCGATTGAAGAATTCATGAAAAAAGCCTGATTGTTTCTTCGATTACTTGCATGCAATTCATCATACTGATGATGTGTTTGCATCGATTACTAATGAACGTNTATTTGGCATTTTTGCTGGATATTTCGACCATACACGTCTTCTTGACAAATATCTCGTATAATCGCAATGAGTGGAATCATGCTAGACATTCTCATGAAATTGCTTTCATTTGAGCTTCTCGATCTTCCATTCTCGAGCAATAATATCCCTGATTGCTGAGTCTGAAATTTGGTTGAATAGGTTCAAATTGTCAAGCAGATAATTCTGACAATGATTCATAGCTGAACATCTTGTCCTCTCAACTGGCAACTGCTTCAAACTTCAGATATTCGTCTCTGAGCATTACTAGTCCCAGTTTCAATCTCTCGGATCATTGTTCGCATCACTATCAACCGATTGAAATATTGTCCATCCGAATGTGATACTTTCACTGTCATTTCATGTTATCCTCTTGTGGTTCCTCAAAATCAGCTAATTTGAGCATCTTTAGAAAAATTTCGGCAATGACCGTATCTGCGAAAGAAATGCAAGAAATCGACGCACGTTTACCACATCTAAGTCCTCAAGATGAAGATGACAACCGTAAAAATGGAACCCATCTAACGTCGTGCTCAATTTGTCCGAATTGTCATCAGTTGAGAAATCATTCAAATCCTCTAAACAAAGGTTTCAAATTTATCGCCTTCTCAATTCCCCAATCGCTTGGAACTTTTCGAACTGATTATTATTTGTTTCATTAGTGAATCTTTTTTAAAATCACCTAACTAGTTCTTGTGCGCTCTATTTGTTGATCATTCGTGAAGAATCGCTTCGAACTTTTCAAATTGATTATTATTTTCTTCATTAGCGAATTCTCTCATTTTTTACAATCACCTAACCAATTCTTTTGTACTTTACTTGTTGAGCATTCGTGATGTATTCTTCGTGTACGATGGATCACAAAAACGAAAAAGTAACTTTGAATAGTTTCAGTACGGGAACGTAATATGGATGAGTTCATTGGACGACGACAATCGTTGTTGCCTTCGATGAAACTACTGCCTGACGATGAGGTTGAAAACGATTACAACAGTGCCGAAATGAATGCCGAAAAAGCCTCAACTTCAACCGATAGTAACTTCATACCACCCGATCCATCACCCACTAACATCAACACCAATGAGCAATCATCCCCCAATCAGGTGGAAATTCTCGAATTTAGTTCTATCTCTATACACCAACTCAACGACAAGATTCAAATCCCTCAGCTAAGTGAAAAACAGACTTTTTTGTGACATCAAAGAGAGTTGTACCAGTCTGAGTGTGTTATTATTGGGTCGCTGTGTGGTATCATTGCTTGCTTTTCGTGGCTATTTTAAGAATTGCGACTAATCTCATTTGTATCAGCGATACATTATCATAAGCCAAGCATATTTCATTCGATTCGATGCTTAAACGAAATGAAATGAAAATAGAAAAGCACCATTTGAAGATGAAAAACCTCCAAAAAAAAGCTCAAAGTTGAGTGCGAGTGATATAAAACGTCCTCAAAAAAGTCATTCGCACGCAAACTGGACGCTGAGAAGAGTAGAGCAGTTGGGCAAACGAGAAAGTCTAACCATCAGGCATGACCGATCTGAATGAAGACGAATAGAAGTGCTCAAACTCCAGTGTTATTCCATATGTTNCAGTATTGCTCATTCCATGCTTAAAAAGGATGATTTTGTATGATCATTGCATTTTTGAATACATTATTCTTAAACATTTCTTTAATTGAATTCTTTTTTTTTCAGAAACCCAAATCGAACACCAAAGAAGGCTGGTTTTAGGTTCAATAAGGAAGTGTAGGTTCATGACACCGGATAGTAGCCAAAGGAGGATTATCCATGAGAGAGAACGCATATTTCCGGATCAGAAATAATGATTTGCAATTGCAGAACGTTATCAATTGATGTAATATAGAAAATAAATGAGACCTAATAAAGAATCATAATCAAATCAAAAAGACATTAGCATATTCTTTTGTGAATTCATCGCTAAGAATAGCTGATTTGCGGAATAAATAATGCTGGAAAGAACATTTATTGTGATGCGATCGCAATAAAATATCCATGAATAATGGATCAGACGAGCAAAAACAACGGCTGCGTTCGATCAAATGCTGTCTGTGTATGGAGAGCAAGTACTCCTTGAAAATCCATGCAATGTTCGGCATGATAATAAAAATACATCAAAACGAAAGATATTGAAATCCAATTCAGTAGTACTAATAACAATGATGATGTAAATAATAAGAGTGTGAGAGCAACAGTATAGACAGAATGATGACTTTTTCGATAAGAACGCAAATAATTAGATTAATGAAACTGATCGCGATAATAAACCAATAATGCTAATAGTAACAAGAGCAGAAATAATAATAACAATCAAAATACTTGCATTGCTAATAAAAACGATGAATGACTATTTCGAGTGATTGATATGAGTACTATCGATAAGTCGTCACACAATAATCTCACATTCAATCGCTTACTTTCACTCACTCAGACCGATTGCAAACTTCCAAAAAAGTCACACTTTTCTTCATGAAAAGACTCATACTTACTTGGAGTGTTAAGATTCCAAAAGTGTTCTTGTAATGAACTGCATTTCATCAAACAAATCAGTTTTCCTAACTTCCATTTGACCTGATGTATTTGCAAATCAAAAAAACTCACTTTTATTTGAGCTGAATACAAAATGAAAAGTTACAGCGAATGGTTATTGCTTGATTCTTTTTTTTTNTTTTTTTTTATTTTGCAGCGATAAAGGGATAATTTCGCAATTACGACATCTGCTATTATATGATAATGATGGTTTTATTAGTGTCGATCATCTTCTTCGATCGAATCATTCTTATAATTGGCAATAATTTTGAGTATTATACGATCAAACTATAATACGCTGAGAAGTGTTTATGAAATTTGAGCTAATCGTAGATGAATGTACACGAAAATGAAATGCGACTGAATGACTGAACGATGTAAATTGTAGAATCGTACTAACAACAATAATATATCAAACACGCTTTTACAATCTAGTCAGTGAGGATTAGGCGCAATGTTCGATTGCTGTATTCAAATGCATTTGATGGCTCTATTGTTTACAATTTCATAGGTGATCCCTGGTTTGGAGAGCATTATCTCTGCTGAATCCTGAACTGAATCGTTCTAGCTGTTCAATGCTTCCATCCCCAAATGTATTTGTCGCTGTGAGCATTTCTGAAAAGTGGTATTCGGTAGCATGCAAACGACTGTCGCTCATAATGAGCAATTGTAATATTTATGCATGTTGTAATATTTATCACTTATTATCGTCCAAAATGGTTCTTGCCTCATGTACGAGTAACTGCTGATTGATTGAGCAAATAACTGAATTCATCGTCGGACCATCAGAATATCAGCTTCGCACCTTCTTTGGCTGCTAGAATTTCCCCTAATATTTCTTCATTTTCTCACCGGAAATTTCATGCATAAGACAAGATTTCCCGATTTTGCGCGCTAACAATTTGAATTATGTTACAAAATGTTCAATGATGCACTCTCATTCAATTATGTGATTAGCATTTTGCGATGATTGACTTGCAAAAACAACTTTACGAGTGATACCAATTTTTGGACGAACTGAAGGTTTGGTTTCTCTTAATTGCTGATTGCGCTCTTTACATCGAAGAATCGTCCGTCACCCGTCTTGCTCTGACTTCATTTTCGTGCCGATTGCTTGTAAAACAAGGTGTATGTGTGTGTGCGTTCAACATAAATGTTTATTTATTCGCCCGCCTATTGAATCAGCAGTTCACGTTCTATTTCTAATGAGGAACATGCAATTTCGCATGTTCTCCATCAAACAAAAACGTCGGAAACGTTGATTGACTTTAATCTAATTATTATGATTGTTGTTATTATTATTCGTTTTAATGGAGAGAAATAATTTCTACTGCTAAACATTACCGAAATTTGATCGCGTTACTATGATGATAGATGCATGATCGCACACAACAACACCGGAAGTACGTTGCTAATTCAATCAGCACTGAATTATCATGAAGAGTTTTGGAGTGTCGCGTTCATGTTTCCAATCTCATGTTAACCTTTTGCAATAAACGACAACAATAAATCACTCGTATAAAGTGAACGATTGATTATTTTCACTCCGTCGAATTGATCACGAATTCGAATTCGATCCTTGAAAAGCGAAAGAACCATTTCCAGAGCAAGATTAAAATCCTGAGACTGTTCCTCAAATCACGCATCGAATCACTGAGATTTTTTACAAAAAGTTTCTCACACGGAAATAATGTTTTCCATCCAATAGCACCTCAAGGAATGCAGAATTGCGTTAAAGTGTTAGTTTTCGTCGAATTCCCCAGTCGCAATCTCCTCGCCGATTAGGGTTTATCCTAAAAATAAGCGACTTTGTAACCGTGAACGATATGTGAATATCATTTAAAGATTACGATAGAAAGTGCAGTTCACCTTTGAAGAATTCCCTTCAAATTATGCACTTCATTAAAGAAAAACCCTCGTGAACAATTAACAACGAAGCGGATCATAGATCATAAATGCTTACACTCTATAAGTCAAGAATGAGCACAAAAAAATAAAATTTAGCAGCGTTATTTGCTGCAAAACAGAGCGATTAAGGTATTGTGCTCAGAGGGAATTAATTCTCGGTTAAATGAGATGAATTGTGAAGGAATTACTGAAGGGGTTTGATCCGTTCAAGTGGGCCGGCTCTCTGTTCACTAGCGACACTTCACCACTCTAATTAATTCTCAACTTCACTTCGATTACCCCAGAAAAAGCTCCCGTCGAATGCCTTAAGTTCCAGTTCCGTGAAGGTGTATTAAACGCTTGATCGAACAAATATTATTCGCATATAAATAACTAAATAAGCGCATCAATAAATAGATATCAATCTGTGTACATACGCGTACAAACATATGTATGGATACATGAATTTGTTTTATATTTGAGCATCATTCATATTTGTGTATTCATGGAGAAGTAATGCGGTGAGATATTGGTGTTTGCCGATGAGGTTCTTTGAAAGCAAAAAGGTTATTTTTGTTGTTGGTGTGATGGCACTGCTCGATAGATTTTGGAATGTTGCTCAAAATGGTGATCGCTTAGGCGATAAGAACGCAATTAGACGGCTTGAATTAAAGACGAAATGCGTTTTATTCGAAACATTATTCCATTTGCCGTTTCCTAATAATCGCCATATTTCATCATCTATTCTCATACGTTCTTCAATCTCACTTCTTTTTGTTTCATATGTAAATTGTCACCCTTGAAATTGTCACTGTAGACGAACAGAGTTCGATGAATTTTTGAACTCCATTTGTTTATTCGTGTGCAATCGACAAGCACTATTTAGCAATATCAATTCAGATCGTGCACTCGATCACACATTTGCAAAAGCACTTCTGAGTGAATTTTTTCTTGATCGCTATTCGAAATATTCTAAAATGCATGGAAAAATTCGCCATAAACAGTTGAATTCGCCTGCATTCAATTGTTTCTACTCCTACTCCTCCCACTCCCTCACTTCTATTCTCGTCCCTCCGCTCGTCGTCCATTAATTGAAATCACATGCAATTAGATAATAGCATCGCAAAATGCTCTTCGAATGCAACATTCAAAAATTATCTCGATCGATTCACTTAATGGAATACGTTTATGGTATGATACCCGAAAAATGCGGATCTGTGCGATACTCGGATGCTGTGCTGTTCGTCGCTTACGTCTTATGTGGTTCCAGTAGCATTCAACTGTCAAGCCACCACTCATTTGCACTCCTCACATTTCGATGCCGAACGGATATTGTCAAGTACGGCATCAGTACATTAATATTGCTGTTACCGAACGATTTATCGAAGCAACTTTTTGATGTATTCTTTTGCGAAAGCATTACTTTCATGACGAAGAACAATAAGAGAGGATGCATTATTTTGATGTCGCGATCAATGTTATACCTGTTGCTATCAATATTTGTTACTACTAGCATTATGGTTACAATTGAATGTGTTCCATGAGCTATTATTATGAGCATCGTTATTTTAACATTGTGCTCATCGCTGTGCCATTATATAATCGCAGTTATTCCACTTTCTCAACATCTACAATTGCGATATCAGTTCGCTAGTGCTTTCTCGTAATTAACATCATCATCACCAGTATCGCAATAACAGTTCCTCATTATCCTCGTTCTTGTCAATAACATTGATATCACAACTTTTCAAGTGCATTTCACTAGATAATCTTCTATTATTGTTCATAGTTGATTTCTGAGCAGCTCTAACGATACCTGTTCTAATCATATTAAACGCTTTAATTCGACAATCTCATTCGGTTTGTCAATAAAACAACTCGCACATATTCGAAGTAACAGTTACGTTGATAGTAACAATCGCAATGATCTCGCGCATGATTGTGATCGGAATAGATCTCTAGTAATTGTTTATATCATTATATTGCATACAGATGTTGAATTCATTCCTAGAATCTCAGCGTGTATCGTGCATTATGTGGAGTTCAGTCTTGATCACTCCTATTCGTTTACATCAGCCATCGGTTACTGCTCACATTTTGGATTTCAGATGATGGAAGAGCAGAATGAAATAATTGGCTATTTTGAAGCGAATGTGAATAAAACAAGTGACGATGAGAATGCGCTGGATATTGACGAGTCCATTGAACCACTCTGCTATGAATCTGATAATTTTCAAACCTTTCAATATACGGTACTTCATTCTCGCTTCATTTCTCCGAAATTTGAGTCTTCTCTTTCACAAGAACAAAGAGCTCATGACTAAATGATAGCGTAAGATATCAACTATACAACTAGACAGGAATTGGCCATTGATCTCAAGTGGAACAAACTGCGATATTCATCATTATGTAACTGGATATATAGTATTCGTGTAGTTTTTTAATATTGAATTCAGCTCATTCAGTCGAAATGAGAAGTGATNTTCAACAAAAAAACTGAATATTCTGCGAAATCACTGATCGCATTAATATTTCCAGGTCGACGATATGTTATTGGCAGCTAGCATGGCCGCTACAGTATTCAATGTAATTGTGATCTTTTGTGCTGTAAAATTGTTCAAGAGAAGCGGGGATACCATGCATTTATTTATTATCACTATGACTTGTGGAGATTTACTGCTGACTGGTAGGTGAATGCAGTCATCATTACGGTCATTATAAGGCTATTCAATGTTTTCGCATATAGTCACCTCATCGTTGTGATCCTTTTTGTCCGTATCCATTCAGCATAAGCGTTTCCCTAAATTTGAGTGATCAAGATTGGGCTAAGATCAAACGGATTCTATCCATTTCAACTCAGTCGACAATTAAAGTCATATCCCCACCGGAATTTCTGCCAAATTTAACAATAAGAGTGAAAACCAAACAAACACTGAAATGAATAATAGCACCTAACCCAAACAGTTTCAAGTCATCCACATTCTAAATATGGCTGAAATTCTAAAAACTAGGGAGCATTGCAGTGATGTGTGATTGTACTTCGTTTCAACATCCATATTTCTATTCAAACGCAAAACCAACAAAAAACTCTCACAAAAAATGTATGAAATTTGCAAAAAAAAATTTAATTCATCGAGAGCGCATTGAAAGCAATTGGAGTCGATAGAAGCACGCAAGACTTCAAAATAACATTGCTCAGTTTGTCAGCATGAGAAGTGAGCCAGAGTCAGCAAAATTTTCAAAACATCCGAAAATCGCAATTGAAACAAATGAAAGTACGATGAGCTTTCAGTGTTCTGTCATCCGAATGAGTTCCTCACTCGGAAACACGATTTCCTTCGTCATGAACGTTTATGTGCGATTATTCACTTCTGCAATTGGCTAGGTTTGGCCGTCTCCGGATTATCACTGACAATGCTGAATATCGATAAGCTTATCTATTTCCAATGGCCACTCAGTTATGATCAAGCGATGTCCAAGAAGAGGGCAATAATTTTTTGTTGTCTTATTTGGGGTGTTTCACTCGGGTTCGTTTTCGATTTAATGCTTCCTTTCGAATGATTATCATCAAAGTTATGTTGAGTATCATTTGCATTCAGTTCATTGCTTCAAATAAACTTGTCCAAATTATTTTCAGCTTTGTTTCCTATGTGTGGCTATTCAATGTGGTTCACGTTGGTCCTGATTGTATTCTTCAGGTTATTTTTGTTTGATTCTTCATTCGGTCACTAAACGATCAACGCTTCCATGCGTAGATCATCCAACAATTCTCTGAGTTGTTGTCGCATTAGTCGTTTCTGTTTTTTGATATATCAGAATAAAGTTTTCTATGAATATCTAACAAGTTGTAAGGGATATCGAAGATATTTCAACAATGCCCTCTTTTATTATACGCTCGATGGGAGCGATTCGTGATGCTATTGATATTATATGGTCAAAGATGTGAGGCAATAAGGACATTATCTTTAAAGGATATATGTTCAGATGAGTGACAAGAAACGATATTTTTACGAAGTATTCATGGTGATGTTTTGTGTGCTGCCAGTAACCTCATCAATGATTGTCAGCGTTTATCTTTATCGTTTAACGAGAGAAAAACGTAGTTCAACTGCTTGCAGTGGACAGAATGTGGACACATCCGCATTCAAAAATAAGGTTAATTCCAATAAATTGAACTTTTTAAATTAAACAGCTTCCCACGGACAAGGTCAATTCCCATTAACTTTAAATTTAATTCGCATGAATTAAACCGCTTCATTAAACTCTTCCCATAAACTTCATCATCCACTTATCACTTCATTTGCTCGGACATTTTTATGTGATACATCATTGGCATTTTCGTGTTTTTGTGATGTTTTTGATGCTGATTCATTTTGATACTTTTCATGTGATAATTTCGTGTAATGATCGAAATTCCCATTATGCATAACTACAATTACAAGGCAATGATTTATGATTGTGTCGTAAAAACTCTTATTGGGTCTTAAAAACTCGGTTCACAAATTTGTTGGTGTCAAATAAAATAACTTTTATCAGTGCTGAGCACTTTTATGATTGATGTAATTGCATCACGTGCGTTTAAGATGAGGTCATTAGTGTTCATATTCGCGACTACTGCTTGGACATCGTTCAGTTTATTGCCATACAGAATCTTTAATATATGTCGAATACACTTGTTCAACTGGAATGAATTCAACTGTGAACAACGAGCGCAGATGAATTGGCTCGCATGGATTTTACTTTATCTGCTGACCATTAATCCGGTTCGGTATTTTCATTGTTATGATGTGAACAGTTGTATTCATATAAATGATCGCATTAGCGATAGTGATCGCATCGGATCATTGAACACTATTACAGGTGATTAATCCACTTATCACGGCTTTGATATATGCACCATACAGATTAACGATCAAAAAATTCTTGATAAATATTCCGATCGGAAATCGCCCTCTATACAGCTACAGAGGAGACGACCAGACTGGCATGAGGTGAGCAGCTCTGATTCTTTGATAACATCTGACCTATTCAGGTGCACTCGATCAGTGTCCTTCATTAGGATCTTTTACCTGTAAACTCTTTAACGCAGTGGTTCTCATAGGGGGTGAAATTACCCATTTTTGGTAGTGAAGGGGGTGATGGAGGGGGACGGGAAATTAGTATTTCGTGTAGTCAGTACCCAGACATTTTGCCTAAAGACGTTTTGTCCATTAGGCAAAATATCCGTTAAAAAACCGTCCGTTAGGCAACGTATCTTTAGATAAACTGCCGTTGGGCAAAACGTTATTAGGCAAATTGTCCGGTCACGCGTGCATTCATTATTTTATGATAGAACGCCATTAACTCGGGTATGAAGATGCGGTTAGTTAATGGCAACACTTTTCATTCTCCTATTTCTGTGTATCATTAGCTCGTCCGAGCCTAAAACGGTTTTCAATTGTTTTAACAGGGTTTTCATTCTTTTCCTTGCTGTTGCAATCGCTCTCATAACTTTTATCACCAAAACTATTCTCTTCTGCTAATTTCTCATTCAATTTACTCAACAGTTTAACTCAAATTCTCATTCTATGAAACGCGCTCTATAATTGATTTTTTGACTGTCGAACGTTGTTGAGCAGTTCAATTCAATTGCTGTATTGTTGATTTCGGCTGTCAACACTCGTCAGCAAATAGTACATGCCACGGAATAAGAAGCAGTGAATTAAATGAGACGAAGTGAATGAGAAAAACTCATCAAGAGAACGATATGCACATGAAATAGCTATGAGAATGAATACAACGCGTCTGAAAAGAATGTGTCTGGTCATATCTGACTAAAATTCTTTCTAAAATCATTATTACAGGTGATAGATGATTATCTGTACTAATATGATGTTTTTATCACTTGATTTAGTTACATAACCTTCATTCCTTATCGCCTTAATGGCACTCTAGAGCAAGTAAGTAAATAAGTCCTTATCAGTAGCAATATTATCAGTATACAGCACTTTATTCAGTTACATATCGTCACGAAGAAATCGCAGTCGTCGAAGCTGTTCATCAATAGACCACGAAATGAGCGCTCTAAAACGATCGCCCGATATCAGGATAGCAGCTCTCAGTAATAGCGCTACTAATGGTGATGCTTCGACACAACCACTCAACACGCCTCAAAGCGATTTTTCCTCTGAGAAATCATGCAAAAAAGCGAATGAGCACGTCGGTAAATTCACCTATGTTCAACGCTCCAAAAGCAGTACATATCCACCGCTTGGGAATGACGCTCAAAACATTTGATTCTTCGATGAATGTTCGTTCGATACAACCATATCATTTTTTGTGCGAACCACACGGCCATAACCTCTCAATCACGGCAATGAAACCGAATTCGAGGTGATGAAACAAGCCTTCGGAATTTCAAAATCTTCTTTCATCCATCGAAAGCCGTATGCAATCCGATAATGATCATTTATATCACCACAGTCTATTGATCATTTTCGGTGAACAATTATCAAATAATGGTTGCGTTGATCATAGATGCAATTTGATCTCGAAAAACATTCTGATCATGCATATCTACCAAATAATTTATCAGCTCAAATGCTCGTCGATCGCCGCCAGTTCATCATTATCATGCTCATCACTAGTGCTTATGAACTGAAGTGAATCGTAAGCCTCATATGACGCTTGAACTACTCCTAAGTACCCATCCAACACACACATATCAATGTTTGTACGATTGTTTGTGCTGAAAACAAAGTAATCATCAGAGGTGTGCAATAATGCGCTATTCCGTTAAGTAGCAGAACAGCGGAATAGCCACTCCGCTACTAGCGAAACGCTACTTCCCTAACCAATGAACTAGCAGAATCGCGAGTTATTGCTCATCTCTGGTTATCATTGTTATTATTATACCTTCCCATCGGGGGGATTTTAAGAAATTTGACAGATATTAACGAATTTCGATAGTCATTATTACTGAATCAAATGTGGAATTTGTAGGTAGGAAGTGATTGATCTGGAACCACACAATCAATAATATCGATGATACTGCTTTTTGTTTTGAATGAAACGGTTATTTTAATCAGTAGCAATATGCACTGATGTTTGTTTGCTCGTTAGTGAATATTTCGATTGTATACTTCGATGCTCACTTATTCTTATGCTATGCAGCTTTCTTTGCTTTGTACTTGTTCGTCTATGGAAATATTACAATTTGTGTTGTTATGCATCATTTCAATTCATTTCAGATGGTTGCCAGATTTGAAATATGCCACTAGTTTGATTTCGACTTTTTCAAGTACTACACGGGCTGGTAAGCTCAACTCTTCATTGATGAATCAACTGAGTTTGGAGATTTTGATGTTAAAGTTCAGCTGATCGATTTGTAGGGTTTGTAGAGTCAATAGAAAGGTAGCAAGAACATTGAACAACCAATTGAGTTATAGTGCAACCAATTTTATCGCCTCCTATGTGCCTGGATATTCGTCAAAGGTATTCATCTAGAACTCGTGCAGCAAACACAGATTAACCATGGATTACTTCTTTGATCCTGGTCAGTATTTCGTAGACCAATTGATTGTTGAACTTGGATGATGCAGCTTTTTCACACATTTCTATACATATCGCTTTCGTGCAGAATGAATATTGCAATAAACATTAAGTTATCAGTTTCATATATGCATAATAATAGCATCGCGAGTTCTTGTTCAATCATTTCATTCGTATTAATGTGTAATCAACGACAGATAGCGTTATCCGAATAGCGAATATCCAAAAGACTCACTCTTCTAATTATCACTAATATTATGATCATTACCACTAATCGGCATCATTTCGAATGCATTCCGCATTCAGCAATATGGCTGCAACCATCGCCATTATCAGAGCAATGAATTTTTTGCTGTAACGCATTGAAATGCCATCGCTGATGCCCCGAAACAATATCTTCATTAATGTCTGGCAAGAACGCTCACGAATACACAACATTTATGAAGCTTCTTCATCTTACTCTGGAGGAGTGATATAAATTGTTGGCACTTCGTTGGACTCACGAACTGACTGCAGAGGTGGTGTGACAGGCTCAGAAAATGACAACTGAGGTGACGGTAACTCCATACGAACAAGTCGTTGACGACAAATAAGTGTGGCTATAAGTGCCAATGCAATCAGTCCACACTGTATTACCATCGGTATGAAATAACCAAACTTCTCGAAAAGCACACTGAAATGCAATTGCTCATCGTATTCATTGCTCCGTTTCTCATGATGAGACTTGTTCAAATGAGCATTGCACAGAGCGATAACACATGTTCTTGAGTTCTCATGTGCACTAAACAGCAAATTGCTTACGTTGAAATCACTGCCATCGCGCAACGTCCCAAATTTCCGACATCATCGAACAATATCTGAATGGCTTCCTGAAAATCAAAACAAGCGTTGTTGATCACAACTCACATTCATCAAGCAGTTCCGCACTTTCAGAAGATTTGTTTCATTTCCAAGTGAGATTAGTTCAGTGCATGTGCAGCCATGTGAGTTCAGTCGCTTTGCGGAGATACTTTATAAACTTACTATTAACGAAATATTTTTGAAATTATTTCATAAGTTGTCGTATTTAATGCTCACAGAATAAGATCTGAAACGATCAGTGTGTTTCACTTAAACACCAATTCAAAAAAAAAGAATTCAAAGAAACCAAATGGATCGGTCCAAGAATCGCCGAAAACAGTGTTCCAGTTGCTTCACCAGCGATCGCAAACCCGAACCCCAGCAAAACAATTGTCAGAACAATGAAAACGGGCAGAGGAACGATCGTGGAGCTACTGCACCAATCGTATGCTATCGGACAAACTCCGGAATAATGCGCTTTTATAACAGCTGAATTTGCACACACGATAGAACTCACAGAATTTCATTCCTCCGTTATTTAAGCAAAATATTCTTGAGATCTTTCCGCGAAAATTTTCAGTTTCTCTCGAACACTTCACAGCACACTGAACATTTCAGGTTCATTTTCAAAATTATCAGATCTATTCTCTTCGAAAAAGCTTACACAAAAAGCGATCCAGAAATGAATCTCGGAAAGCTGCTGACAGCAAATACTTTTTTTCTCATTATTTACAGTTCAGTCAAATGTAGAAATGGTTTCGAGTTGGTAACATGTTATTGACCTGGCTCGGGATAGTGTGATGGGTAGAATGGCCATGGTATCATGAAAAGATGATAGAGCAACATTAAGATCAGTCCGACGCAAACAGCTTTACGTCCATCACTGAAACAAATAAATGTTTAAAACGCGAAAGCCATCTTGCTCATTGCCTTTTTTGAGACAGTGTCGATGATGAGCCATGATAGCAATCAGCAAACCAGTCATGGATTTTGGTGTAGATGCCAATCGACAATTTTTGCTGGATCTTAAAAATTGCTCTACTAAGGGAACCGAAAATGATCAATGACTCAATGATCACAGCAGCCAACATTCAGTGACAAATCGAGTGAATCTGTCTAAGATACAACATACCTAGCACGCACAAAAAACTAAAGGATTTCTTATAAAACACTTACTAATTGTTCGTTTTCTTGAATCCAATTGCTACAAAAACCGCACACATAACCATCGTCGAACCAAAAAGGATGAGACCATCGTAGAACAGTGCTTGTTGATCGTCCCAATTATAAAGTGCAATCGAGAACGGAACCATCAACCTATAGTGAGATGAATTATCCGACAAAATTACGAAATCCTCCAATGAAATCACTCCGCTGAATTATTTTAATGGACTAAATCGCTCATGATGGATCGCTTGATCAGGGAAGATCGAATTATGTAATATGTAATAAAGACAATCACAAAATGGAATCCGCCTGATAATGTGAAGATTAAATTCATTTGGTAGGAATAATGTTCTCTAACAGATCAGTACGAAATTTTCACGCAATTCGCTGTAATAAACGCTGAACGCAATAGCCGAAAGAAAAAGATTCATTAGGAATGGAAGACTGCTATTTTTAATGATGTTTTATGCTCAAAACGTTTTCCCCTACTGCTCCCTTTCCCGTAATGCTCATTTAAAATGATTTCGTGAATGGAATGAACTCACCTCATTGTTTGCACATACAAAACTTACACTTCAATATTTACGGCTACGCACTGTATCACCAGCCAAATAGCAACGCAAACAGCTGCACCTAATCTATCGAAACAGGGTAGTGTTATGGGTACCGGTGGTTCACCTGAAAGACGAAAACGCCATTATTGTCAAAAGATTCGAGATATCGCATGATCAGATGACACAAAGTAATGGGATTAGATTTGTGATGATTCGTGAGAATTTTGTAAAAATATTGTAGATAACGCCACCTGAAATAGAATCATCGCACTTGATACAATACAGTGTATGCCCTGAGCAGTAAACTAGACAACTGCAATTTTCTTTCAATTTCTAACGAAACTATTAAATATCCGCAAGAATCGTTCAAGTGCCAGACTACTAGGCTTTGATTTCGCATCGAATCTGAGAAATAACCGAAGTCTACTGTAAATCTGATGTGCGAGCAGAAAGACTTGACGACAACTGAGTTAATATGCGATGCGATGTATTATCGGTGGCTGAGTAAAGATTGGGCGAATCATAACAGTAACTGACCAAAATCAGATATTTCATCGGGAATACTTCTTCGATCGTTCACATCGAAACAACTCAATGCAACAACGGTAACTACACACGAAAGTATGACCATCAAGAATGCAGGCAGATTGTACATTGTCACCGGTAGTATTCCGAGCATGAAACCCTTTTGTTTCAGAAATGCGCACAGTACCTTCAATTGTTGCGAAAATTTCTTTACGGTTCAACAAGATCGCATAAAAAATTCGATTAGCATTAGAAAACAGCGATGAATTTGGATTCCAAGCGAACAGTTTCGAAGTTCAGTCAGAATAACACGTTTAGAAATGTTGAAAAGTCGATTCAGTTTGGATTTTCTAACAGTGATAGCATCGAACGAAATTTCAGTTCAATCGTATTAGTAAATGAATGGAATCGTCCAGAAAGAAATAATCAAAAAGCATGATTTTGATCGTACCGCAATTACGGGTCCAATCGTCAGACCCAGCATGAACATCGCTAGATCAATCGAGACCTTCCTCCATCGACAGTCGTGTATACGATCACTCCTGATATTCGCTCGAACAACACTCATATTCCCTCAAAATATGATAATTGCTACCTAGTAATCATCCATTATAGCAGGGTGGCTATCATGACTAAGCGAGAGCAAAATCTTGGGATAGAATATTGTGAGAATGAACAGAAAAAATGCAAGAATGCCGCATGACTGGAAATAAGCGCTCAGCGATATCAAAATCGGTATTATATTTGCTAATCCAAGCACAAAGTTCGATTGATTGCAGGCATTTGAATTGTACTTCTGCATGATTAAAACATTCTCAAGTGAAAGTCCCTATAAGCGAGCAAACATGGAAAATTCACCGAAAATGGAAAGACCATTGTTGACTTATTGTGAATTCGAGTCCGAAAATAAAAAATTCTAATGAAGTTCAAGCAATGTATATACCTGCACCTAAGCCAAAAATGAACCTCGTTACAAGCATTTCCCATTTGCCGGAAGCATAAAGCGGTAACGTCACGTAGAGTGCATGAGCTATTCCCATCAGCAGAAAGGCAGTCGCAACTGGACGGTACATTGTTCCGCGCTTTCGATAAGCGTATTGAAACAGCATCGAGCCGAACGTTTGACCAAATGGAAACATCGCTACAACCCACCCGTAGAATACCATTTCCGCTCTCGCATCGATCTAAAATTCAACAATGCATAGAATTTGTCGCATAGAATCCCGACACGTTCCATTCATGCAATCCATCCACATGTGAATTCATTAATTTGGCCTTAACAAGGCTTCCAGGAGACAATGAGCAACTGGAAGCATTTCTAGTGCAATATGATGTGCATGTGTCGATTCTGGAAAGCATAATATCTTGTGGTGTCACTCGGGACACAATAGCAAAGTACATATGCACTAACAGTCTTCAAAAATGGCCACATCGATACGGCAAGAACGGAAAATTGAATTCCGTTAAAGAGCTGAAGTGCATAGCAAAACCATTTTTCATTGCGTTGTCTTTTGAGGATATCCTGCACATCTTCTTCACTGATTGTACTGAAATATATGAAATATAACTCAGATTTGAGATGAACATTGAACTGAATACATAAAGACTTTTTTCAAACCTTTAGATTATTCCATTTAGATAAATATATTCAGGAAAACTTCTGAAGGAAAATTTGGTCAATGGTATGAAATCAGCAGTACAGTTTAATCGTATTCATTAAGGTGACTGGAGTTCTTCTTCATTTAGGAGAATTTTCTTGAAGCCTCGTAACAACGCACTCATTTGGCAGCAGAGATGTTTAGAAGAACCGAAGGATAAAGGAGTATAAAATTGATATCGCTTACCGCTCTACTGGTCCGCGCATCTGTGCCATAATTGATGGTGTATATCCTCTAAATTACGTAAATCCAAGACTCAATTCTCTCGGTCACTACCTCAGAGTGATTAATTCCGATTCACAGAAATGGCGTAGACTGATTGGTGATTGCAATAAACTTTACACAATCGATTGAAACGTTCAGCAGACTGAACTGAGTGCACTGAAGTATAAACAGATGTTTGTACTGAATGAATTGCTAAACATATTCAATTGGCTTGTTTGTATATTAGATTTGATGTTTGACATATTATCTATAAGGATTGATAAGGGAATTAAACGAGACTGGTTTGATACAATAAGCATGTTGTTGAGATGCTTAACAATGCAGTTTTTTAGCACTAAGAGAATTAAATATTATGTAATCATCGTATCATTACGCATAGTGCCATACGCGTACACACAAATACCTGCATGACTCTAAGATTATTTCAAGGACATCGAAGAAATAACATCTTTGCTGCATTTTGCATGTAAATATTTAGCGATCCTCCTTCGAATTATTGCACTACTGAGATACGTACTAATGAATCATACAAAAATGTAATCAAAGAAACTGTGAGCAAACCAGCTGGCCAAATTGTTTGCTCATTGAAACCTACACAGAATTGCTTTTGAGGAAATACTCTCAGCTTTACCAAGTACTATATGAATTTCTTTACAGCAATCCATTTCGCTGAATCTCTAGCTGCAGAAAAATACGTATGTTGTTGAACAACTCGACTTTCTTGAGGAGATATTACAATTTTCCTAAAGCTATCTCAATGCTATAGCGTTACTATATTCAAGCCTACCGTACTCTCAGGTTTGCCCAGTAAAATATCAGTTTTTGTACACCATTCGATTCCACGGAACCACTAGATTCAGAAGAACATATATTTTGCCAAACAATTCTGCTTAATTGAGGAGATATAGCTATTTTCCTATAATTGCCTCAACTAGCGCAAAGGCGATCATTCATGCAAATTGATCACTAGAGAGCGATCAATACGTTCATATTAGCAATAGGCGGATTGCGATCTTCGAGCTAACCGTCTTCTCAGGTTTGCCCGGAAACATGCGAATTTCATTTCGCCGTTCGATCCAGCGGAACTTCTAGTTACAAACGTACACGACTGCTTCCATTCGATACTCATTTAATTTACGAATTCGAGTTTCTATTTCCAATAGAATTCCATTTTCCCTTAATCTGAGAGTTTCCATACATGCCTTATCTTCGCTGGTAGAGTCAGCTCATTCTGATCATAAATGATCAGCTCGTTCTTATTATATTTATGATATTCTTGTTATATTTTCTTAACATGCTCGTTATTATTTTAAATGATCTTATATACTTTGATTTGACATATTTGATTGGTATTAATTTTCGACTTATTTCTTTAAATTTCGTTTCATTTGATTTATTCTTATAAATTTCGATGGAGTTTTATTTCCCTTGATCCTTCTCAGATCCTGGAGAATGATCTCGACGAAATATCAAGTCTTTTTTCCATTATTATTGGAATTCGTTGACTGGTTGTATGACCTATTAATAAGTGCATGGTTTGTCGTTCTGATCATAAACGTGATCATAAATGTGCACTGTTTGAATGTGTCATCGATCTGTTGATGGTGCCATACCAATTGATCATCACTGATCGTGCACTGTGGTCGCCTTACTCATAACATCGATGTTTCATTCCGTCTTCATTTACTTCACTTGTGCTTGTTTTGTGCGGTGAATTGATGCTGTGTGTACATTTTATTCATGATTTCAGTTCGTTGATGCACTTTCTGTTAATATTTAGGATTGCGCCGTGGATAGTTTTGATAATCTAGTAGTTCGGCATATGCTTAAAAATATCAGTATCAATCATTTAATTCTAGGTGGACTCTCGTTTTCGTTATCAAGTTCTTACGGATGACCGGATGCAAGGACCGATGTTGATGGCCAAATGAGATTCGGTGGTCAACAAGACATTTGCTGGTCGTGACATGAACAACAAGAAGATTTATCATTAATCAACAACAGTTGCCACAGCAGTATCACAGCAGATCAGTACAAAAACAACAGCAGTCATACAACAAGGAAAAGCGATAGATGGCGCGATTGAGCGTCAGGTCAACAGTTTCAACTTAATTTTTATTTATCTTCGTTTTCACTAGGCCTCGAATAGATAAGCCATGATTGATAAACCTCATTTGTTAACGTTTGTGCCACTGTCTTAACAGGGAGTAAGCAATCGTTATGCAATTTTGCACGTCATCCACAAATTTCAGTTATCCCTTAGGAGGAATTCTGGGTGGGAGTATGGTTTCTTAATGCACACGTCCTAAAAATATTATGACTCTAGCTATATAAATCATCCATATGATCCCCTGAGAAATGAAAACAGTCTTATTGAAAACATACCATAATAGAGGATGGGAGGAAACCGGATGTCTGACTCAAATTCATGGCTTATCGGATTTTGTTTTTCATTTATTCTTTTGTATAGTAAATTAATTGATTTGTAAGAATGTTATCATATTCATTGTTAACAACTGTTACAAATGTTTTCTTTGTTTATTTATTTATTCTGTACATTAGTCGATGCTGTATCATTTTGCAATTGATACGTGTAGGGCGATGGAGAGACGTGGCACGTAACGACCCACTTATCTCCGGAGCCAGAGGTAGGGACATGGACTGAATTCAGATATGAGATGTTCCACCCAATTGAATTTTTCAAATGAGTATCTCCTCATTCCCACTAATGTGGACTCCGTTACGTAGGGGTATTTTGGACTTCAGAGACATAAAGTTGTCGCATTAGATCACTCGAATACTAAGCGTGGCTTCAAGTTTATCAGGAGTTAGCTTGACCTAACGTAAGCTTATTGGATATCAGTTAATCTTTCCTAGAACTGAGTAGGCTTTAAACATATTAGACCAAACTTTGGCTTAACGATAATGTTAAGCTTCTGTGCATAGTCTCACCGCAGTCATTGAGGTAAACGCCGAGCTGAGAAAAAGCTCTCGAAACCGATCGATTCTTAGAGACAGACGTATCACATGAGTAAATATTTGAGCAGTTAGTTGAGGGAGGAATTGCAAATGACATTGATAGTAGCTACACTGGCATAAGAAAAGAACATAAATTCCCATGTGAGTAAATTGAGCTCCATAAAAGTAGGGTATGAAGTGCCTTATGAGGTCAGCGGTAGGTCTGGAAAGTTCGCCTGGACCACTCACC